TAAAATTCAATGTACTGTAAGTTTCCAAAAACTTTGTGAAGTTTGTTATTTCTATCTTTAAACTTTGTAGACTTTGTTAAAACTTTGTAATGCAAAAACTCGGTAAACAAGTTGTAATTCCAAAACTTTGTCAGATTTTTGTAAAGATCCAAAACTTTGTAAACACTTTGTAGGAAGTTTGTTTGAAGACCTGCGAAAGCTGTTCAAGAAGAGCTGATCTTTGGATTAGTGAGACTGCTTGCATTTTTTTGTTTAAAAAACGGCATTTGGTGCTTGCGCTTTGGGAATTTGTGACTGATGGCTGTAGTGTTTCAGGGTATTGAGGGTGCGAAGAAGGGTCGAATGGTTATTGGTTGTGCAAGTGTTTTAAGACTTGGCCACGGAAACACCAAAACACTTCTTTCATTTTTCCAAATAACATTGGTGCAAAACACTTCTTGCGAGCAAAAACACTAAACTCAAGCAACTTAACATCATGGCCGGTCGCCACTCCCTCGTCCCCGGCCTCGGTCCCGACCGATCATGCTCCCGAAGAGGCGCTCCGGTGGCTCCGGCTGGGAGGACAAGAGCTGTTGGCCTCGCTTGCGACGAGTAGCTGAGCTGCGTCTTGCGTGGCCTAAAGGCTCAAGTACGTCTGAAGACTCGTTACCTGGCGCTGGTTTCTCCGGCGCTGGTTTCTCCAGTTTCTGGAAAAACACGATGTGGCGTGGCAAAGATGGATGTGGATGGCATGTCGCTTGGAAGATGACTTTCCTCTAGAAAACAGGGGTTTTCCACTTCCGTGTTAGTGAGTTGGAGTGTATATACCAGGGCCCAACTAAGGGGGTGTCTAATAGTAGCCCCTTAGAGGTTAAGGGGTGTTCATTGACCACCCTTTAGGGGGCCTAGTATCGGGTCAACCACGTTCATCGGCTTTCACTGAAACTGCGCTGCCTTTCGACCACAAGCATAGAAAGCTTCCCCCTCCCCTCCCCGAAAAAAAAGAAAAAAAGGCCAAGCACTTCACATCCTTTCAGGACTTGAGATCTTCATCCGCCCCATCCACAGGGGGGGATTGGAAGGACGTCAACCTTCAAAGGACTTGGATTCTCCCGATTTGCCCAAAACTCGGGAGAAGTCGCACATCCATTGGGTCCTTGAGGTCCTTCAGGTCCTCTTCCCCCTCGCTCCGGTCCGCGGCGCTCGTTCCATCGATCTGAGCAGCTGGTCGGGTCCGATTCGCAGGCGAAGATGTGCCGGTAGCGTACGCCTGGGAGCACCGGTACTGGAGCGGTCCCGGGGCGATGGACAAAGAGATGGATGAGCGACGATCGATCCAAACGATTCTATAACACTTGGTTGAGAGATTCATGAGCATTCACCTTCAGGTCCTGGATTGGTGCCATATCATTCTATATATGTTCAGGCTTCCAACCACATCCCAAGGGCTTGGGGGGTGCCAAAGGCCAAAGGAGTCTGCCCCTCCACTCTCAGGAGGTGGTTGGAGCCCGAAGAATTCACGATGATTGGGTCCTTGTGAGTTGGGAGGTTGAGTTCCAAGCGTCACCACATGGACTGCCGTAGGACTGCCGATCAGGCCAGGGGTGGTGGTTTGGGGGGTCTGGCTTGATCGGCACTTAACGGCATATATCCCAGACACTCCATGTATGGTATATTTACCTACATTGGGGTGGTTTGAGGGGTCAATGTAGGCATATATGGCATACATGGAGTGTCTGGGTATGGCCGTCCCATGGGTCGTGTCTGGCATTTGGTTCTCCCCTGTAGAAACCCGCCCAGCCCCACCCAGCCCGCGCCTGAAGCGACGAGGACCCCGAACCCGCACGGATTCCCCAGCCTCCCCCCGCCCTGCCCTCCCCGCCGGCGCCCGACCGACGCCCGAGGAGCTCCCCGAGTTCCACCCGAGGAGCCCAGGTCGTTCAGTGCCGAGGGGGGTCCCACCGAGCCCCCGCAGTCGGTGGCCACGATGAGCCTCGGCGCCGTGTCACGGACGTGCGTTGCGTGGTGTTCAATGACCGGACCTAGGATACCCATGGCCACAAAGGAAACTGGATGACCTATACTTAGGTCCTAGGGATGACCTAGGCTGTTGTGCAAACTGGACATGATGTGTTTTTTCTTGAAGCAAATGGAGTGTGGCCATGTCTTGGGCAAAGGAACCCTTGCGGTCGGGGATTCTGACTCTCCATACTTCCCTAGGGCTCCCGTCGTCCCTTCAGAGAAGGTGGGACTGGGAGCCCGGTGCCAGGAGGGTTTAGATGTCATAGCTTCCGAGGCACCTGGAGCTCTAGGGCATGTAAGAGATGATCCCAAATGAATGAAAAGACTACATCAAAAGAATTCAAAACATAAACACCCAATATCCAAGCCTTAAATGGAACGCCGTCAAGTGCAACTAGGGGGTGCTGGCATCAGGACATCGAATTTGGGAAGTCGAATGTGTAACCCTAGGGCTCCAAGTACCTTCTGAGAAGGTGGGACTGGGGTAGGTTTGGATGGTCTAAGTACCTTCTGACAAGGTATTTGGATCTCTACTCTAGGGAATGGGATTTAGTATATAGGGCGATCCGGAAGATTCAGTGGACATAGGGAAAGAAAAAGGAGTGGAAGTGGATGGAAGTGGATGAGTAGGGTGGAAGAAGTAGAGTTGTTCACGAACTTCACTTCGCATCCTTTTCGCCACCAGGTCGTTTTCATACATCGCCACTCTGCAGCGTAGGTCGCTCTGACCCAAACGATGGTCTCGACGGGTGGATCGGGTGGATCGGGTGTAGAGGGTCAGAGGGTCCTACCGGACAGGGGTCCTCCCAAGCGAGGTTTTGGTTGCTCTTCTGGTGGGAGGCATCCTGAGATCACAAGGCAACCAAAAACTCAAAAAAAGAACTCTCACATGATGTATACAGTACCTTGGCTCCAGTGGCTGCCCTGTCTTTCGTTCGGCAGATTCTCCGGTATACGCGCGATCCGGTGGTGGATAAGCCTATAGGCGACGTAGCACGTCTCCATCCAAGCCACTCCCGATCCGGTAGGCATACTCCGAGATGTGCCAGCCAATGCCTCACTCAGGATTAATTACTTGTTTGTTGATCTCGATTTCTCAAGCAAAGCTGCAGCCGATTTGCATGCCGATTGAGCCTCTCTCCCGTGCAAAGAGTAAAGGGGAGTCCCATGCGGCCCATGCGTTCAACGTCGCCGTCGCCACAGCTGGTAGGAGCCACATCAAGGAAACCAGGGACACCACACATGACTCATCAGGAGAATTCACGGTGATTCCGCACCAAACTCTTTGAGCCCTAGGGCTCCTGGCCCACCTCCTCAGGTGGTTAGACCCTCCAGACCCACCCCTGGCCCACCGGTCACCGAAACGGAGGTGGCCCAGGACACCATGGCCACACTCCATCTGCTTCAAGCCACGCTTTCTCGGGCGCAGGGGCGTTGTTCCGCCGCCGGCGCTTGTTCGGAGGCTCCATGGCGGTTGGTTTCGGTGTAGCTCTGTGGCGTGGAGGAAGCTGTTCGGCAAACGACACTGACGACACTCATTGGGGTATAGTCTTCTTCAAACGCGGGCCCTGGGTTGAAACTGCATATGGCAATTATAAGGCATATTAAATGTGTCCACAGCCTTTGCCAAAAAAGTTGCGCAGAAGAACTGTGTTCTGGTATTTCATTGAGCCCAAGGCCCTTGGGGTAGAGGGTTCAGGCAGGCACAGCAACATCTGCCCTCCACAGCACAATCCAAATATGACGTTTCTGGGAATGGGTTGGTATCCACTCTTTCCACCACAATCCGCCCAGCCGAATCTATGTACAAGTGGAGCGCTCCGGCTTCGCAGCAAGTGGGCGCGGGCAACATTTAGCTCATATATCGATATACTGGACTTGACTAAATAACTATTCTCTCTCTATATATATATATATAAGTTATATTATATTTTTAGGTCATGTCAACCAACCTGTTGGAGACAAGTATGTATACAATGAGACTTTCTGGAGAACTCGGTGATGATAGTCATAGTAATGACTGATCCACAATGGTTGAGATCGCCACCCAACTACAGACTATAGTCTAGCAAAGGGCAACAGTTTTATTGCCTGCAAAGAAATGCGTCAAATGCAGAAGAGCACGTCTGAATTTCCGTTCACCGTCCAGATCTCCAAAGTGATGCAGGATATCTTTAATCACGAGTTGCCCCACATTCATGTATAATCCAACCTAGAAAACCGCACGTGGCTCTGCTTAAAGCAGGTTGGCACTTGCACGACTCAATGGTTGGAACTTGCACGACGTCCACATACGCTTTTTGATGCATGTGTGAAGTTACACATAATGCCGGCTGAAACAACGATTGCAACCTAATTGTGAAAACCATTTGCACCACGGTCTATAGTCTATGGGCAACTTTCGGGCATCCCATAGGCTTAAACATTTGCGCATGTTTGCGCCTTGGTAGCCATGCAGCATTGCCCAAATCTAGCAGGACTCCAGCTTGTACAATGCATGATTCCACCCGAGTCCAACTTGCATGTGTCGTGGGTTTGCACACCGACTCCGAGAAAAGTCTCTGTCACTGCGTCCTGATTAAACATCAGGTTTATGGGAACATCTGCAGCTTCACCATGGTTCAAAGCTATGGCTTTCCTGTAGTTGTTCATTCCATTTCCCGTCAACCTGCCCCCCAATCCACCTGCCTCACCTGTCCCTCAAACACGCCGGACACCGAAGGAAGTGTCCAAAGAAGCCGGGCCATGTTCAGTCCCTAGGGATCCAGTCGTACCTTCTCAGGTTAGGTGATTGGAGACACTGTTATGTAGGTGCCAGGAGGGTCCAAATACCTTCTGAGGAGGTACGACTGGGAGTGGATTGAGAGGACCAATAGGCACAACCCCAAAGGTCGGCGGTTTCTATGGACCCCATCTGTCCGGGGCCAGTGCCAACCACTGTAGTTGGCCTGTTCTATGCCTCCGATGCCCCAAACGACCCGTCACATGCCGTTGTTGTCCTGTTCCAAAAGCTGACCCCGGTCGCCAGGCTGGCAAAGCGCAGGGAGGCAGGGTGCAAAGCGCCCTCCTCATCAGTGGGATCCACCTGGGTGCTGCGTGGAGTAGCCACGAAGCTCCTTTCGAGCCCCCAAGATCGGTATGTCCTCAAAACCTGTTTGTGGTGGAGTCCATTGCACGGTGATCACCACAAATTGCAATGCCAATGCGGAGCTTTTTCAGTAGTGCGCATCACAATGGTGGAATGCTCAAAGAATCGAATGTTGTCTCAATGATACTGCCATTCCCTATGCACGAAACAAACCTTTCCCTTTGGTTCGGGCCCGGATCAAATCCAAGGAATGTCCAAATCTGTCCCTCCACACCCCTGGGACCAAAGCCAAAAGCCCTGGCTTCAGGTAGAAGGGATGCAAGTGATTGTGACCTCAGCAAAACCACACTGGAAACTGGAAACGCAGCACAGGTGGAAGGCTGACGCTGCTGGAATATCCTGCAGCAGGTGCCTTGTCTCCAGGGCCAGGGTGCCTTAAAAATCGCATTGACTAAGGCGACTGAGGCGCCTTGTCCACCTGCAACGCTACATGGAAAAATATGGGAGGTCCGGAAAACGGAAAGTACATGAGGATGATGAGGTAGTGAGCTCCTTTCCAGGGGACACAGAGTGTCTGCCAGTGCAAACCGTTTTGGTTCATGTTCCCCCTCCATGTCCACATGCTTGATCAGGTGGGACATCCCTGAGGAAAACCCCCGACCTGTCCAAATGCCGTGAGCATTGTGATGATTTGGCCAAGCACATGTCGTTGCCGCCTCTTCCATGCGCGCCGTGCTCCCACACCCAATCGTTGAACCTTCTCGCCGAAGCGGGCCTCAGGTCACCAGCGGAGAAGGGCCCACTGTGAGGGCACGATGGATGGATGTTCACTCGTCTGACCCAAAAAACACCTGCATTCATCAGAAAGTTTCTACTATCCCTAGGGCCTAGGATCCAAGAACCTTCTCAGAAGGTGATTGGAGACACTGTTATGTAGGCTTGGAGGGCCAGTCGTACCTTCTGAGGTTCGGTACGACTGGATCCCTAGGGTATGATGCCCTCTTTGGGACTCCTAAGGACTCTGGGTGGGCCCTCTGCATCCACGTGCAATGTGTGGCCAACTTGCTTTCAGGTCCGTTCTTCTGTCCAAGCCCATTCTTCACAGCGCGGTGCAAACGTTGATTGAACAACATCTTCCATGGCATGCGCTTCCTCTCGGGACTTGATCTCATGTTGCCTCTTCGAAGGCCGACCTGGTATACGGTTGGAGTGGCTTCTTCACCGGGCGATTCAACCAGATTCATGATTGATTAGGGGGATTTCATACATCAACATCACCAAACCATCCACACCGAGAGCCACATGCCTGGACCTTCTTTCGGGGTGTCCTGTCTGGAGGTGCCTGTACGTATAGTGGTGGGCTGGGGCGAAACCAGGTCCGGTGACCCTGACACGAGGGTGCTGGTGTTGGGACTGTCCCAAGCCCCCCGGTGGAGTGACCCACTCCACTGACCTCTCCCATCTTCGGAGCCTCGGACCGTTCCGACCTCGGTCCCGACCCCCCGACCCTATCGATCGCGGGCGAACTTCGGGTGTTCAGGTCGCGGCATAGTCCTTCACTTCGCCACTGTATTGGCCGATGACCACATACTCCGGGAGTTCCTGCGGGGTATCGGGGCCGAGAGCCGATGAGTGAGGGAAACCTTGCGGGTGAGGACAACGGTCAGGTCGAGGAGGTGGTCGGAACCGGCAACATGGGGAGATGCAGTGGTTGAGGACATGAAAGCTTAAGAGTGGATTTCAATGACAGAATAGTAGAGTTCTTCAGTTCTTCTACCTTCTACTTCCACCAGACTAGTCCAAAAGAAGCACCCTTCTAAACTGCATCAAACAGCTTGTGGATGCTAGTGAGTCATAGACCCGCCGCCGAACGAACACCCAACACAGATGTGCTGTTTGGAATCTTCGGAATTCATATTATATATATATATAACCTTCATCACGTTTGCCCCAGGACCACCCAACAGAGGTAGTTGCGGGTTAAGTGACCGATTTCATAGGACCCTACCTCACCTGGGGACGGTTCGTTCCCCACCTCTGTTGGACGTTCCATCCGTTTTGCTTCACCGTCCACCCCTTCGGGCTGCGCTTGCACCGCTTGCGGCCACGGATCTGATCCGATCTGCTAAAGGGCTGAAACCCTTGGGGGTTGAGTCATTCAAACCTCATCAAAACACAGCCCAAACGGTGCTTTTCTCTCCCCGTTTCATAGGAGGAATGCCAAAACGCTTGCTGATCCTTCCGTCTCTGCCGCTGGGGGGGGCCCTCCCCAAACCACCTCCGCGGCAAAGAGCCCCATTCCAGCGCCCGGGATGCGGGAGTCTTGCACCCTCAGCGCGGAAGACACAGCTCGATCGCAGCCTCGGTCCGAGACGGGTCGGAAGGTCGGGAAATGACCATCCCTTCCGAAGAAGGGCAAAAGGATGTTACCCAAACACTCCATGGTATGGTATATTTACCTACATTGGGGTGGTTTGAGGGGTCGATGTAGGCATATATGGCAGTCCCATGGAGTGTCTGGGTTATAGGAATTAAACCATGGTTTGAATCTACCAATTGATTATTATTGATTTATGTTGTGTTCTGATGGATGGATCATGATTGACCTATCATCACAACAACTCCTTTGTGTGTGTTTGTTTGTTCATCGATCATCTATCGACTTCTTTTCTTTTGATCATGCCATCCCTGGAGTCGATCGACGATATCGAAAATAAAGCCAGTCAAACACAAAACAACCCATGTGAGATGAATTCACTGTGAACTGATTCGCCAGTTGGGCGAAAACAACATCGGGCAAACAGCAGCTCACTTTGTATCCTTATCAACCAATTTATACATAGACCCCTGTCCGCGGATACAATTGGTTAAGAAAGTATCGTGGTCACCGATTTGGATGTGAGTGAAAAGGTCTTCGCTCCCTCCTTCAAGTACCAATGCTGCCGATAATCGAAACGATTTCCGATCAACAAATTGTACTTTCTTGAAATGATCTGACCACTCGTCATTCTGCTTGAAATGTCCAGCACGGGTGGGTACCTGTAACTGAAATTCAGGGACACTGATCCAACTAAGTCCAACAGTACAGGCCCTAGGGCTCCTGGTCCATCTCCTCAGGTTCGGTCGTTAGACGCGGCCAGGAGCCCAAACGCGAGAATCGCCACTTCTTTCTTGCGTACACCGGTTCGAGGTCCCTCCACCGGTGCGTGGTCCGTCGAACCAACGAAGCAGTGAGCCCTTCCCCTGGCCCTTCGGACCTCGGTAGATCTCCACCATGGCACATCCGGTGGAAGGAAACCAGCTTTCAATACTGCTGGTCAGTGCTGGTCAGTGGTTCAGCGACCCGGTCGCACAGGTTTTCGAGGGGCTGTGCGAAGATGTTGGTGTCGAGTTCTGTGCCATCACAATCATGATTTCGATTGATTTCGTGGAAACCACGGCAGGCGTTTCTGGGGTTTGCTTGAGTGAGACATATCCTTTTGGAGGGCACATGGTGGCCTTCCTGGGGTGGCTGCTTACGAGTGAGACATATCCTGAGGGCAGTTTGATAGTTTGGGCACGTCTGGTGGCTCCTCCGGGGCTTTGGAGGCCTTCGCATCTTCAAAATGAGAATATGCTGGCTGTCCTCAGAATAAGCTGCCTATAGCTGCAAGCCTGCCTTGCAAGACAAGAAAAACGTCAGACTGCTACCTTCACCATTCAACGGGTCACCAACCGACGACCCTATATACTGTTACTTGTGGATCTCCTCTGAACACCGTTCTTCGCTCACCGCATTCCGTTGGCAGCAACGAAGCCAAGCAAAGTGAGGTCGATGCAAAACTCGGTCGATGCGGGGCTCGTTACCAAGCAAACATGGACATCCTATTGGTAGAGGAAACATGTTGCTTAAGAGGCGTCATTATAACAAAAAACATTAATGGTGTAATTTGAGGGTTCTGATGCTGCCTTAACAATGACCTGAAGCTCTACAAACCAATTGTTAGGGGCAGGGGCGAGACCGTCTCGTACAAATCCGTCAAGGTCTGTGCAGCAAACAACAATTGAAGGCGGACCCAAGAAGTGATATAATTCAATTACCAAACATATTCTTTACTATAGTGCAACACATACTCTTTGGCTGTTTGATTTCAGCCGTAAAGATTTGTTAGGAATATGACTGCAAACAACAAACCTCCACCATTTTGCGTATATATTATAAATACAGCGATATAGGTTCCCAAGCAATACTTTCTCAAAAACACCCGAAAACGAGTCAAATCTCTGCATGTCAAACGCAACATCTGAACAAAGTGACGGAAAATGATGGAAACCCAACCTCCACCACCGAGTTTGCTCTGCTTTTTTACGCGCTTGGTCACCGCCGGTCAAGTCCGGGTCGCTAGCGGTTGCCCCTCCATACCCTTCGGTCGCTCCAGTCAAATCCCTTGGCCCCGATTTCGGAGAAGAAAATAACACGATTTTGCTTTTGCATTCAAAGAGGGGAAGACCCCTCTAAAAGCAAAAACACACCAGCACCTTCATGTCGGGGTCACCTGGCTGGTTTCGCCCCAGCCCACCACTACTAAGGGACCTCCAAACAGAACACCCCGAAAGAAGGTCCAGGAACGTAACGAAAACCACTGGTTGGTAGAGGAAAACACTCTTCCAGGGTCTATGTTAGTTTTGAGAAGTGTGAAAGCAAAAACAAACGTAAACTCCACTGACTGGTTTGGAGGTCGCCCTTTTCGAATACAGTCACGCCCCTTGATCTTCCGATTTGACCAAAGTCCGCCTCTCCTCTGATAGCCTCATCTGCACAAAAACTCGGCTAAGCGGCTAAGCCACTTTCCCAACAAAGGAACCCATCTACAAATGCAACCCACTGCGTGACTCACTGCGTGTTGTTGTGCCCAGCATCATTGACGAACCATGCCATGCCATGGTGTTTCACCTTTGCCTTTGACGAAGCCACCTTTTCACGGTGCCGAAAACGAGTCCGTTTGGGATTTGGCCGCGACGGACCTCGCTTCACTCGCTGATCCACAGTGGTTGGAATTGGCTCAGGCCGTTGGGGCTCGACACAGTCTAAACATCCGCAGGGGGCCGTGAAACGGGATATGATTTGATTCGAAGTCTATAGCTGTGAGAGTGACAACTCAATCCCGAGACAAGTTCGCACTTCCTTTTGCGATCCTTGAAGGTTCTATAACATGTCCTTTCTTTTTGTAATCCTCCCAGCTTGCTGCGAACACATGACTCCGTGCAAGTCCAGCTCTGAAAGCTCTGCAGCCTTTCCAACTCCAACTATCTTCCCTGCTGCGCCTGGTGCGCACCTCGCGCACCAGGCTGCGCCACGTGTGCACCGATGGCTCACCAAGCCGCACCCCTCCGGGCGCGCAGCCCGCGGGGGTGTAGCTGCCAGGCTCAATATGGGGAGCATCCCTTGCCATCCTGCAGTCGACAAACAGCCAGGCGATGGATCGATGTTCAAGCATGTTGAGGCATGCGACTTTTACAGCTTGTCGGCGTGTGTTGGAGCCTGTCTCTCTAGCTTAGAAGGTTGCTTGGAACAGGAGTCAGTCACAGGCGCTGGTAGCATGTACAGGGCATCAAAAGAATCAACAACAACCACAACAACAACAACAACAACACCAGCAGCAGCAGCATTGCAACATTGTAACAGAACCGTATGACATGTGTTCTTAATCACTTGCTGCCACCGGTGGAATCTCTCGACCGGTGGTCCATGCTATCCTCAAACACTCCGACGATCTCCGACGAACACATCACATGGAAGTGAGGAAAGCAGTCTTCCTTTCGGCGCCTTGCTATCCACGTAACCATGTGATGTGTTCGTCAAAGAGTAGATGCAGGTCGCTCATTTCCCAGGTCATGAACCCTCCAACAAGTCGAGCTGCTCACCTCACGGATCCTTCTTGCTACCAACATATATGTCGGCGCTGCTGTTTCAATCTTCCCTTGAGGCATTGAACATTCAGTCGACTTGAGACTGTTTTACATGACAGCAACCAGCGCCTCCAACACATGAAGCAACCATCGGTAACCATCCACCCACAATGACGCGGGAAAGTGCCCGTGCCTTTCCGTAGCCGCCATAGCCACCTCGCGCTGCGAGCTGGACAAAAACACACACTGACATTGGTTTTCAGTTAACTCAGTTCCCAGGTGGAAGGAAGGCGAAGAACCGCGCAAGGTGGAACGGTCAGCTGGAACAGTACGATCAGCTGCACCAAGCTGGGTCACAGCTTCACCCAGCTCTTTGCTCGGGGTCCTCGTGCTTCACCCACCGGTGGACCTGGGGAAACATCGACCTCTGGGAGAAACCAAAGCCATGTGCTGGATGGGCCGTCCCAGCATGGCGGGTCCGAGTCCAAGGTGCCCCATCGACCTGGCAAAACACCTGGAACGCACCCTGGGCAGCGGGCACATCGTTGATTGTGACTCCCGCAACGGTTGTGGTGCGTCGTTCCTTGCATGGCCCAGATGCACGCCACCATGACTCGCGCTTGTGCCTGGACTGCAATAGGGGAACCTATATAAATATCCGAGAATTGGTTCAAGGGAAGTCTGCAGCACACCCGTAAGAAGTGGGAGAACACCATGGGTTTCCTGTCCATGTTCCCTTCCACCGTTCGTCTGAGACAAATAGAAAAAGTCTTTCTGGGGCGACTGGGGAAGCATGTACCAGGTGGGCCACCCAAGAGGATGATGACTGAGACGCGCAGTCGTCGTGCTTGGTGCCCGCACCTTTCATGCCCCAGCCTCAAATGGCAGCGATGGAGGGTCAACCAAATCCACCCAACCATGGGTTCAGGGGCACCCTCCCTTAGTCGAATCCGTTCCGTCTACCAGGGGCAAACCAGGGTTGGTTTTGACCCACTGCCACATCCATCTGTGATTGCTATGGAATATTTGGGCCGACGGACAAGTTGGGAAAACCGTCTATTGGTGGTGGTGGATTGTTTGATTTCACGAAGAGGACCAAGGGGAATGTATCGAACATTGACACCAAACACACATGTAAAAACAAAAGGGATCAATACAGGTGGACGCTTGCATAGACATCAGGCCACTCCCTCTAGCCATCAGTAACTCCCTAAAGATTGTTCTTCTGAATTGGGCAATGGCATCTGCATCCACATCAGACAAAACAACATATACAGTAATTGATATGAACTATTAACGTAGGCAGCACTGCAAGTGCTTCATCTGGCTAAAACTGCAAACCACAAGTAAAAAATGGAGGTGCAAGAATCTCAACTGATTCAAACACCTCGGTCCCCACCCTGCTTCCATGAATGATGTTGCGTCTGAAAAAAGGCAATGTGTTCACTGGATGTTTTGTGTCACGATTGACCTAAAGTCGATCCCTGAGTGTTCGCCTCCACAAGAGCCATAGCCACCATAGCCACCACCCCCTGGCAAGTTGGAGCTGGAAATCGCTGAGAAGCCTTCACCAGGTGAAGGCTTCAACCAGGAAGCGTGGCATTCCGACCATGCCATGTCTGACACAGGCGCACATGATCTTCACCAATCTCGAGTCTATCCAACCAGCAACTGTTGATCTTTCTCTCTCTCTCTCTCTCTTTTTCTCTCTCTCTCTCTCTCTATCGCCCTCTTCATGAAATTGGCCATATATAGGCCAAGGCGAGCTATTCCCGGGTACTTTCAAGTTCACCCCACAGCAGTGTGACTTTCCATGTCAGGTGTGGGGAAACAAGACTGGCCAACAAGCCCCGTAGAAGAGATGAGGTGACATGTTCACAAGGTTGTTGACAAACAAAAACACGTCTTTTGTCAAAATGACCTGTGAGATACAAAAGAACAAAAACACAGAGTTGGGACCAAAGTGTTACTCATCACGGGCTGCATATTACTATTCATAGCCTATACAAATATATATATATATATGTGAAAACACCACAAACGCACATACTGTATGATGTATCCGCTTGTTTTTTTACATAATGATGTGCTATATTAAGTAAATAAGTAATATACAGAACTCCGATTGTCTTACATTTCTCTAACTGGAGAAACCCCGCTCCGACAAAAAGAAACAAGCGAACAACGCTTGGAGGGCGGACCATAAGCACCTCCACCTTGGTCTGGCAGGAGAGTCATTTTAAAGATCTCTTGAAATCAAGGTCGTTGGCACTTGAAACAAGTGAGAACGTGTGACAAGGCCCCAAAATTCATTTCCACCTGTGGCGCTACAAGCGGGTCCTGGCTTGTGCTATCCTCCCACAATGTGCTTATGCCGGAGCTGGTCGCTACAATAAGTGACCCGAATGCGGTGCTGTAAACACTGGGGGTTAACAACTTGTGGATTTGAACAGGAACCCTAGGGCTCCAGGTACCTTCTAAGAAGGGTTTGGAGGGTCCAAATACCTTCTGACGAGGTACTTGGAGCCCCAAACCCTCCCTCCAAGAAACATGGAATGTGGACAATCCCATAGTCTTGTAGAGGACATGTTTGTAAATGTGCCCGACTGGATAGGTCAGGTCCGGGGATTGGACAGGTCAGGTTCGAGAACCGAGCGATGTAGAGGAAACGAGCCATCCTTTTCGGGTCCATTCACGTGTTCATCGGAGGATGCCTGGTGGTTGCCATGAGGGGCAACCCTCTGGGGGAGGGCATAGGGCATTGCTGCGTCTTTTTTGTCCATTTCCACTTGCAGTAGACCATGCAATGGATCAACACCCAGTGCTTCAAAGAAAATCTAACTCTCATCCAAGTGGGTCATGGAGCATCACTCGAAACCTCCGACCCTCATCCACCCAAACCACCACCACCGCCGTGCTGCACCCGGACCACCCGTGGGTGCCGAAAACCCCGTGCCGGCGCCGGGCCCTCCGATCCGCGGGTCATGTCCGTCTGCGTCTTTCAATCGCCCAGGCGCCATAGGCACCACCACCTCGGGATCGAGAAAGCGAACGTGGCAGGTAAATCACATCTGGTATCATCCTGTCTGGGTGTCCTGTCTGGAGATCCGGAAGTAGCCCTCTGGACACCCAAACAGGATGATCCTGGCATATTTAGTATCTGGTCCTAATTGTGCCTTCCTTCGTGGATTCTCCTGCCCAACGTTGTTGGTGCCGTTCATAGGCCTCAACGCCGAACACCACCTGAGGTTCCCCACCACATCCACCGCCTGGAAGGCGGCCGGAGAGAGACAGAGCCGCCCCAGCACCGCCCAGCTTCCGGTGGTTTCTAGACCCACTGCCCTACCAGCCCTACCAGTTCCGGCGTTCCAAGAACAATCTGGTGCCTCCTCGGGACTAGGAGAACACGACATATGGGGCCACCCATGTGCAACAAGTGGTCTTCTTTAGTCTTCTTTCTTCTGGTTCTTGAAAAGGCTACACGCACACAGTGACGGTCAGTGACCTGAGGAATTTGTTCTTCAGAAGTGGTGAGTTGATGAGTGCAAAGAAGGCAGTCCCAAAGCAGGAACATTTAAAGGTATATACCTGGACCCTCCGACCTTCGGGGTGTCCTGGCTGGACTACCCCACACTACCGGCCTAGGCTTCCAAACAGGGCACCCCGACAGGAGGGTCCTGGTATATATATATATATTGCCCTACTGAATTTTGACCAGGGACTACACATGCGCTCCACTGCGTTCCCTTGGACACATCTTTGGCTACAAATGATTGACCATGCATTCCCTATACGCACTCACTGCACCTGGCACCAGTAGGAATTCACCTTTTGGCCTTGGTTTCTGCATGCATTTATAAGAACTATAGGGTGTTCACTTGGGGGCGGCAGAACATTGGGCCGGCAGTTTCAGAACATCCCACGGGCCTCCATAACTGGTGGGCGGAGGCACTGCTGAATAACCGCCATAGCCTCCAAGCACGACTTTGGCTGTGATTCTTTGCAGTCCATCTTGATTCTGGTAAGGCATCCAGGTTCATGCAGGTCCCAGTCAATTCCACTGGTATCTTCAGCTTCAGTAAATCCACACTGCGACCGTCCTTTTTTCCACCGTCTCTCCCACTGATTGTCGCTGAGCTCGCCGCCGCCACCACCGCCGCCGCCATAACCGCTTGACTTCGGCGTCCCGCACTTGAAGCCTGCAGCCCGGAGTACTAGAAGGTCGGTGGAGACATGGAGACCAACACATGGAGATCAACAACCTCATCCTCGGCGAAATCCAATTCTGTGGTTTGACAAGTATATCATCTCACACCCCGAAATCTACCTACCCGTTTAAATATCTGGTCACGAATGCGCACATAAATGCACTGGGCTGCCGCGCAAACGTCCTTCGACCCAAAGCACATCGCACCACAGTCTGACGTGCCGAAAACCACTGTGTGAAACGCGTGACATGCATGTGAAGGGAGTCGCAGGAGGAAAAACGTCGCCCAAATGGTTTTGGATCTGTCCAATTCTTCTACGAGGTCTGCCGGGGTTCTCCTTGTTTTGATACACATCCCATACGATGCCTACATTGGGGTGGTCGCCCTGGGGTCAATGTGGGCATATATTCCAGCCAGGAACACTCTCAGCGAGCAACAGGTGTGTACTCACCAGTGTCTTTTTGCATTTGTTCAACAAGCTCTTTCTCACATTCCCGAAAGCATTCGTCCTTAACAAGTTCCGCTTAGCAATGGTCCAACAGCTCATTTTTGAAGCCTCCGAATGCCACCAAAGCGACCAGTAAAGCCGAGTGCTGGGACATAGTCTTGTTTCACAAAGAGCAATCAGGCTCACTCATGGCCAATCTCAACCTGGCTGTAGGACATACCTTGACACACCTCTACAAGGTCCCACCCCCTTTACTCTACAACCACCCCCTTTAAAAACAAACAACACCATCAAACCCAAGCAATTCCACCAGCTTGTCAGTGCATACGTCTCCGGATCCGCCAACAGGGCTCCCCGGGGTCTCCGGACTGGGACACTTCCAATCGCCGGGCTTCCTCGGTGCTTCACGACGGTGACCGGTTGAAGCGGCGGCCACACGCGGTGTGGAAGCAGAAAGGAGTCCACTGGGATGGAAACCTCATAGAATCTCCTACTATATCAGGGAGGTGGCCTGGCCAGTGTGGCGCTTGGTGTTTCTTTTTCAGGAGATGACCAAACATCATGGAATGTCCTTGACAGTCAGAGATGTGCAAGGTTGCTGACAAAAACTTAAAAAGAAAATCCATGGGATCTTCCTCAGGGTACCACATCCAAGCCTCCCTGAGATCCATCGGGCCATTGATTAGAACACAACCTCCCTTCATACTTGATACCACGTACCCATTTGACATCCCACGCGCCGTGACGGGCCGCGACGCGGCTGTGTATAAATATGAATTTACTTAGCCGCTTGGCCACAGTGTCCTTGTCTTCGGCCTGCCACTGGTCCTTCCATCTGCTTAGCAATCCGAAGCTACACTATGGCCCCGCACAGGCCCTACACGCTCACTCCATAGAATCTCTAATTACCCTCAAACCACCCAGGAACCCCAGGACTATCCGGCCCTTGAGGTCCCTTCTCTTGCCAAGCGAGCGTCCCACCACCCTTGATGGGTCCGCCACATCCGCCACATCCTCCACATCCGCCACCGCCATAGTCGCCCTTGCCGCCCATGGCTCCTTTGGTGCCCTCGGGCGTGGCGTTCTTGCCTTAGCGAGACGGATCCTGAGACAGCCGGATCGATGCAAAAGGGTTGGTTGGTGGCCAACGGCTGCTGCGAATGCAGGGAATTGATGGGAATTTCTGAACAAACCAAACTTGGCTGGGATCAAGTGGGATATGCAGGTGGGTATGGAGTGCATCTGGTTGATGGTGATGAGAATCTGGTGGTTGATGACTGCACACTGGTGCTCTTTACAAGCCTGCTCATCTAAAGCTCCAAGACTGCTGCCACCAATCACCACGGGCCCCCGGCAATCAATCCATTTGCCCATGATGGTGTGCTCCTGACTGGGGAGCGCATCTGACAAATGTAATTCCTGCTACAGAAAGCATGGAACATCTTTGACACCATCTCTTTCAGCAAGGAAGGTTGGATTGTTACTGTTGATTGCTTTTTCAAGATGCTTCAGGATGCTTATTCAACAGAAGTCCGTTCCTGATCCAATGCCCCATTCGTTTAAAAGAAGAAACCTTGCACTGGAACACAACAAATTATAAAGACATATATATATATATATATAAGCACATCCGTCGCATCCCGTCCTTCACAAAAGTTACAATTTCCATAACAAACTTAAAAAAAAACAACCGTGTACACTCTCCAAACCTTCTTCTACACCTTGCCTTCCACCAAACACCTTGCACACACCAAACAAAGATCCCAACACCCGTGACTCCCAACCCGCCCGGCACCCAAGCACCAGCAACCTCAAAGACCTCTCCCAATTAGACCTGGTCTGGTCGCTTCTGGTCTCTTCTGGGCATCGTCTCGGCGCCTTGTGCATGGCCATGATCTGATCCACGGGATCGGGGGTATCGAAGGAGACGAAGCCGAAGCCCCGCGAGCGGCCAGTGCCTCGGTCCGTCATCACCTGGCGGCGGTTTTTTCCGCAGGGCGTGGGACGCGGATGCGGTGGGTGGGGTGGTTGGGATGCGGTGGGTGGTGTTGCCCCAAATGACGGAGTTCAAGGAAAGCGAAGTCTGGCACGCATGTGTGGACCGAATAAATATGAGACTGAAGAAACACTCATGACTCATGATACAGTGATACAAATTATATTCACCACTTATCGCCCCAATGCAGTGCTGGTTTCAGCAAAGCACCACACAAATGAACAGAGAATATATGAACGCAGAACATGGGCCGGTCAAGCACTACAGTAAGGACGTGCTTTTGCAAAGGCTATGCTGTGAGCTCTCATGATCAAAAACCCTCCTCAAATGCGCAACCCATCAATTTGGAATCCAATTCTCATAGCACAAAAACAATCAAACCCACGTCCTAAAATAGAATCGACGTTGATATTCTCTCTGGAGAACATCTGACTCGCTCTCTCTCTCTCTCTCTCTCTCTCCGTGTGGAGTTCATTCACGTTCCATCGCCAAGGTGCTACGGAGTCTGTGAGGGTTCCGAAGGTGGAGAAGTAGTCACTGAGGATCTGCGGCGTCACCAGCGGGATTTTGGAAAGCGTCGAAAATCGCTGGCGAAGAGCTGCAGGAAGCGAGCGGCGCACTGGTTGGTCCTACCCCGTCCTACCCATTAGAGATGCAAAAACATCCAAAAGCACAAAGGCTCCGTATGTATGGAATATAAGCCTACGTTACATTATTGTACCCCTGGAACCACTCAAATGTAACTAGATAGTTAGTTCATGAAATATAGTTCATGCAGATTCATACATTGGAGTCTCTATGAAATGAACCACTAAATTCTGTACATTTGTTAATTTGTAGTGTGACGTGTGACAACCTCAACGATTCATCAACATCACCACTCATGCCTCAGAAGATCGTGCTTCCCTCATTTCCACTTGCAGACCGACATGGACATTCCTTTCATGCATTTCAAAAGGTCGCCGGCCTACAGCATAGTTAATTGGGCTATTCTGATGTGACCTGAAAATCTATTAAAACCCCAGCCCTCCAAAGCCAAACTGGTAGTGATATAATTATTATAGATCTGATCTGTATAATGTTTTTTTTTCTCTCTTTCTCTTTCTATATGCAGTAATATACTGTCTCTCATGATGTCTCCACATTATGGAGTCACGATCTTTTGACCATGCACGCCCACCGGGTTTCTCTCTCCACGGCCCACGCCTCGGTGGTGACCTCCTGCGATAAGCCGCCCACAAAGACCTGGCGAGCCAGGCGAGGGCCGCCGAGCGGCGGAGACCCGGAGCTTCCCGGTCTTGGTTGGTGAAGAAACAGGGGAGCGAGTGGAGTGGTACAGCTACATACCGCCACCTGGACATGGGTTGTTGGAAGGAAAAATAAAAGAGTTTTCCGGAGAGAAAGTCAGGTCGTTTGATGTCCCTTGGCGACCTTGGTTGGAAAAACATCGCTCATGGACCTCTTCAGCTGGGACTGGATCTTCCAAGGGGCGGTGGGGTCAAGCCCATCCCATTTTGATATCCCACAATAAGGTCAACAAGTTGTCTTTGATCCTCTGTAATCTTTCCACCACGGACATATTTAGACGATTTCGGGGATTACACCTGTATCTTGGACACTCAAACATAGAACCATTTCACCTCACACTTCTCGTGGAAACCCATCATCTACACTCTACACACTTCTCGTGATATCCACTGACATCCCATCTAGGTCTAGGCCTGAAACTGTTTCAATAAAAGGACCGGATAACCCCACATGATAAGTTTTACAAATTTCAATTGTATATGAACATTACATGGGAGACGGAGTAGTGAGATGAAAAGTCAAGAACGAAGTGTTAGGAGAGAAGGTATATGAGGCGGTTGTGCTAAGACGTGTAGTATAAGTGATGATGTGATGGACGAGGATGAGAAGGAGGGGAGGGAGGAGGTGTGTGCGTGTGGTAAGATGGCGTGCGTGTGTGTGTGTGTGTGGGTGTGTGATAAAGTGTCTGATGATGTGATGAACAAGGATGAGAGGGACGAGAGAGAGAGAGAGAAGGAGGCGGAGAGAGAAGTTTGGAGGCTCTGGATTTTGAGATCAGATCCGCATGAGACCTTCAAAACGTAACACACTCGAAACGACCATCAAAGCTATCAAGTGGTCTTATCCCGACCACGGCGGGCAGTGCTAGCAGGATGTAAAGTGGAGTGAGTGAGTGGAGTGAGTGAGTGGAGTGAGTGAGTGGAGTGAGTGAGTGGAGTGAGTGAGTGGAGTGAGTGAGTGAGTGAGTGAGTGAGTGAGTGAGTGAGTGAGGGAGTGAGTGAGGGAGGGAGTGAGTGAGTGAGTGGAGTGAGTGGAGTGAGTGAGTGACCGTTGCTATGCAAATCACAATGGCAGTAGCGCACACGACCGCAGGG